TTTTTATGAGGGCGTGTCGTCGTTTGGCTACATTTTTATATTTTGTTGGATTTTTTTGAAGTTTGTCGTACAGTAATTCATACGATTGATATACGAAGGTAAATAAAGTGAAAAGTAATTACAATCTTGCAATTTTGACATCTGGAACACTGTGGCAGTGACAGAAAAAGATAGTATTCAATTCTAGAAAATAGACACGCCTATCAGGTTAACACCACAGTTTGCACAAATGCAGTATGATCATATCAACCAAAAATATCCTTGCCACAACAATGTGAAAACATTTTTTAAATGTACAACTGGAATCCACTATTGAATCAAACTCGTAACACGTATCTTGGTGAAAGCCTTCACAAAAATTATATTGCAATAATGGAATGTTTAGTAAAACTTCACGTCTGTTATTGCAGGCACAATCCTGCCAACATTTATAATTCGGCACCAAAGCTAACAGGGTTTTTCATTTTTGACCACAGAGGGCGCACATCGATAGCTAAATACTCCCTGTATCCTCGGAGGCAGACATCCGGGCATTTTCATCGCCTGGCAACCTTCGCAGTGAAAACAAAGGCCAAAAACTCTCAGAAAACGGTACTTTGGGCTAGTTGTTGAAACTCTCCTGAACAGTGTAACAAGATTAGCCCTACGTGTGTAACATATACAAATTTGGTTGTTCAGGCTTTAACTTTAAAGTTGAGTTTGTGTTGTTTTCTCGAATGTTCACCGGCTCGACCGGCGTTCCACAGCAGCGTGCACAGAGCCCATGGAAATGCATGTACAGTGGTGCGCGTCTTAGCAATGTGGAACGTCTTGTGACGTAGCTCCGCCCCCGAGGATTGCCCAAGAGTACATGGCTAGTTGTCAGACTGATGATCCAACGATTAGTATACTAGTAGCTAGTAAAGAGAAATAACAAATGGTAGTAGTTGATAATAATATTAGGAAAAATATAAAGCATTATTTTTTTCTGTTAATTTGAAGCTACATTTACGTTTGTAATGCAAATAATGGTAATAACTAAATGTCATCCTTTATAACATTGTTTTAACATCGATTTTTCTGAAAAAATTCTTGATATAGAACTTGATATTTTATGTTGAACATGAGTATAAATTTAAGTTGAAATTGAAGTACATGTAATCTTAACACTAAATTTAAAAATTAATTCATTAGGCTGGTTAATGTAAACATTTGAATAAAAACTATTCCGTTTGCTGGAATAACTTGTCTAGTATCACTTGTCTTGGCAGTGATGCATTCATTTCATAACATATCCTTTGTCGTGGCAGTGAAATCTGAATCTTGTCTTTAGCCTTCAGTATACAATGCTGGGAATGGTAAACTCTCAGAAGGCTGTAACCTGAACATTGAAGACAAAATATCACAGCATTAATCTATGTATATAACATCCATTGATGGGAATAATTCTATCAAAGATCTATTTTTTTTTTTAAATCAGTTGAGGTAGCAACAGAAAAAAAAACAAATAAAAATTTGATCTGTGATTCAGATATAACTTACTAAGCATGATACATCCTATACATCCACAAAGTGTAAAACAAATCTTTAGATTTCTCTGACCTATGAAACTGGTCGTCAGGTTATCCCTTTGAAAAACATTGATACATATGCACTACCATACTCCCATATTTGGCTATACCTGAGCCTTCAGATGATGTACATGTTGTTATATAGTAGATTCACAGATTGATTTTTTTAGATTATCGACCACTTACCAGTTTCTCTTACTGTAAGTTGTATTGTGGGACTCACATATATGGAAAGTATAAATATGCCTGGATTTATCAGACGTATTCAGCTCACTTTTATGAATCACTTCACCGTGTATCACCACCATGCTACCTGTATGTAAAATATGCAAATGAGATGCAAATGAGATGTGGGATCTAATTTTAATAGGT